CCAACACGTCAATTGCGTGAACAGATATTTTACAGACGGGTCTCGTCTCAGTGGATCCACTGGCTTCGGTGTCTTCAATGAAAACTCTAGCGCCTTCCGCAAACTTCAGGGACCTTGTTCCGTTTATGTTGCTGAGCTGGCAGCAATCAACTTCGCTTTGGGGATGATTTCCAACATGCCCGCAGACCATTACTTCATCTTCTAGGATAGTCTCAGTTCTATTGAGGCTATTCGGTCGATGAAACCACCCGAAAAAAAAAATTACAGTGAAATTTTCAGTGGAAACAATGCTCTAACATTAATATTTATTGTCGACAATAAAAATGATTGTTATAATGTTGTACCCTTCCGAAAACGGCAAAACTGCTACCTAGCTGTACAATGAATGTATACATAATAAAATGTTGTTACAATGATTTTTATTGTCTTTTTTCATTTATTTCAAGAGCAAATTTTCATTATGTCGTAAGTAACATTCGCACCGATCCGAGAAAAATAAAGTTTTGTTTTGATGACCGAAAAGTTATTCCTATTTCCAATTAAACACATATAATCTCATAGTGATAGCAATGTTTAACATATTTAGCCGGGTTTTAATCATACAAAGGCAAATCGCTAGCTTTCATGCTAAGAAATACTGGTTTTTGAGTCAAAAGTTATTATACGTCGTTTGGTGGCCCCTATTGTTACTTAAGTCAAAGTGTATTTACCAGGATATTCGGGAGAATTTTCAATTACGTCTCCTTACGTGCAGCCCATTCATCATTTTAGGACCACCGAAATCATCTTAGCAACAAACAGTTCGATTTATTCACTTTAATAATGAGAAAGCGAAACGACGAAAGTACACTTTTCACGGGTTTCTCAGTGCTGTTACTTAAGGCAAACGGCATCTCCATAGAAATTGGGTGACTTAAGTAACATCGAAAACTATTTTGATCGGAAGGTGATTACGTCAAAAAGCAATTCGACTGGTAAATAAATTTAAAAATGGGATGTGATCCTATATTCGGACAGTATATAGTGTAATAGCAGGAGCATCGATTGACACTGATAGCTCGACTTTGTTTACCTTTGTTACATTCGACGTAATGAAAATTTGCTCTTGATTTTGTTGTTAACATGATTCGATCACGAACAATAATGAACAACTCTATTACAAAAAAAATTGTTGTTATATTAAATATTGATATGTTTTCATTGTGGCTTACTTCACGAACAATAAAAATAAATCTGATTGAAGCATGCAGACTATGAGAGGGTCGGCAACACTGCCAATGTAATCAAGATAGGCGCTGCTCGTATGGCTCTTGCTTTGACAGTTCGTTTGGCTCTATTCGTTGCCAAGTCAATTGAACGCCTACGACCAGATCGGTTTGAGTTGAACTCAACTCTCCTGCCTCATCTAAATCCCGCTTAATGCAGACCTTTTCCGTGCAGTCAATAATCATACAATAATAATAAAACAAATCCACCACTTGAAGATGTCAGGAAATAATTCTCAGGTGGAAGCATATTTCATGGGCGATTCTCTCCAGTAGAATGCATTTACTTATCAACGACGCTCAACCACCAAGGCGACGTGACCTAGAGAGATCGAGTGCAGGGGAGTTGGCCTCCATTTCTCACAAGTTCCGGATCGAATCTCAATCCATAATCAGTAAAAAAAAGGACTCACCCGTAACAGACATACCACCCCCTTCCCTTCCCGGGGCGATGTTTTATTTTTTCGATTTATTTTTAAAGTCGATAAAGTAGATCTGTCAAGCCAACACATACACTCTAAAGTACACTGTTATTTTTTTTTAATCAATAAATTCGCCAACCAACAGTAAAATAACAATAATATATAATGTTATTGAAAAAAAAAATTATATGGGGAAATCACGAAAATTTCATTGTTAAGATACTTAACAACCCCCCATTTTTATTGTAAATTTTCCATTTACCATGAAATTTACTGTTTTGTACAACATAAATCTAGGTAAATTTATTGTAGACGTAACAATATAAATCGTTGTTAAGACAATAATTTTCGTCTTATTGTTACATTGTTTTTTATTGTATTTTTGTTGTTATATTTTTTTTTCGGGCAAGCAGGCACTCATCTTATTTCCTTTGAAAGGTAAGGGAGCAGATGAGTGTGCTGGTCGAAAGATCATATACACTGAAACAAAATCCATTGTTAAAAATACTATATTGCTGGTTTGAATTAAATACCCTCACCAATAGATTTGTGCAGAAAACAATTTCATTAAATTTTACTATTATTTCTACCAAAATTACTATGCATTTTGACCAAGCATAGTAATTTTTCCAAAATCATAGTAAATTTGTTGACATTCATAGTCAACTATACTGAATTCATAGTAGTTTTAATGGTAAAAAGCATGGTTATATTAAGAATAAGTATTTTCTGCAAAATAGTATTCCTAACTTTGGTCCTTGTTTCTGAGTATGATTACCTTTGTATGGGTCCCCTCACATTGCTCAATCCCAGGCAATGAGAAGGCGGACTCTCTCGCAAAGGTGGGCGCGCAGGAAGGCGAATTTTATGACAGGTAAATTTCACACGATGAATTTTACCATTTAGTGCGTCAGAGTACCCTTTCGAGTTTTCAAACCGATTGGGACAATGGAAATCTTGGACGGTGGTTACATTCAATTATTCCTAATGTTTCTTTGAGAGCGTGGTTTAAAGGCTTGGGCTTAAGTCGTGACTTCATTCGCGTGATGAGTAGACTTATGTCCAACCACTACTCGCTAGATGCGCATCTCAATAGAATAAACCTCGTGGACAGCAACATTATGTCGGTGTGGAAACGGTTACGACGACATCGATCACGCAGTTTGGCAATGTACGGATAATGACGCCGCCAGAGAGCGACTTTTGTATACCCTCGAGGCCCAAGGAAGACAACCCTATATTCCTATCAGAGACGTGTTGGGTACCCGCGATATCTGCTATATGCAGTCGATTTATGTGTTTCTGCAAATGTCTAGTATAAGAATTTAATTCGTTTGCCTTTTGTATCTCTTTATAAGTTTTTATTTGTCTTGTCCCCCGTCTCGATGAGTCTCATCGTCGCCCACTGGTCACCATAGCCGGTCGAACTCCAGTCGAATCTAGAACCACACTACCGTTCATACTGGCGACATCACTCTGATGAGACAACGAAACCCTACCCCAAGCTCCTCCCCTTTTCCTATCCTTCGACAATGTACCCCTCTAACCTCGAGTAAGCCGCGAGTATTCGGCCCAACTCCTACTAGACATAGAATTAAGTGAATTTTGTTACAAACAAAGAACAATGAATTATCGGCTCTGTAAAGCTAACGCGATTGAGCCTTACAAATAAACGAACTAGATAAAAAAATATTAAAAAAAAAACGGAAAGAGTTAAGATAATTGGGTTCTTGGGTATTGAGGTAAATGCATATTCGTAATCTGCATTAAAAATGGAACCCAAACCCAAAATTTGATCAACTTTGGTACACTGGAACTATTTTAAATAAGTACGATTACATTTGCAAAAAATCACCTTATTAGCGCCCCTCGGTGTCACTTTGTATGGGAGAGAGCTGTCAGTTTATCAGTTTAGTGTCAAACAGTGAAGTCATTATTTTGCTTTGAATCTTGATTTAAAAATCGAGATGAAAGTGTGTGGGTTCGAAAAAAATATCATTGTGCTCAGAAAACGAAGCTCTTTCACCAGAGACGAACCAGCCCAAGGCTGAAAGTCTCTTTAACAAAGAAAAAAAAAAGCTCTTTCAGATGAAATTCTTTGAGACTTCCAGGTATTTTAAGGAAATAATCCTGAGGATTCCCAGCTTTCCAGATTTTTGAAGTTAGTAGACACCGTGACTAATACCGTAGGTTTGGTTATAAACTTTCTATTGAATCTTTCGCTTTAAAGGTTCATAGCGTACATAAGTGTTTATGAGATAATAATTGAATGAGTCTAAAACATCAAACATTTATTTGATGCGCCTTCTCTTAGATCACTTTTTAGTCACTATTTTTACAAATTTAAGTCACTATTTGCTCACTTATTTATTCAACATGGTCACTAAAATCACTTTTTCTGACAGCAGTGATCGCTACCAGCCCTGTGAATGTTGCACGTGTCGTAGAAGCTGATATTTGTGCACTTAAAGTTTCGAAGTGCTTCAGAGAATAAAGTTGTCACAGCGATTCACTTTTATATAGGGATGTTTCTAAGCGTCACTCTTTAATTGCGCGGTATTAGGCACAAATTGTGCGGCACAATTATAATTTTCATTATTTGTTGAGGGCCACCCACATTAGATCCGTTTGCGTTGCGTTGACGTTAATTTGACAGTTAGACAATAGATTTACCTGTCACTTTACCGCAACGCGTCCGATCCGGATGTAATGTGCGTGGGTCTTTAGGTTGTAAGAATATCGCAAATCAAATTTTTATGGAAATGTATACATTGCGTATGCTTTAAAAAAAAACAAAAACACATGTCACGCGATCGACTGTTTACTCGGCAGCAACCATTGTGCGGTCCCCTCATTGTTCTTCATCAGCAGTTCTTTCGGTCGATGCGTCATCGATTGTGGAAAGCAATCGTTTCGTGATGTGTGTGAGTGATGACCACGTTTGCGTCCATTGCTGCAATGGAAGCGCTCTGCTCCCCGTTGGCGATACTGCCATACAATGAAACCAATGGAAATGGATCCCGTCTTATGGAGGAGGCTTATTGGATAGCGAAAGATAAAATGTTTATTGTGTTGTACCTTTTGACAGTAGTTTTACGATGTTTTGTATAGTGAACAAGAATCCTCGACTCTGTAAATTTAATTCGAATGAGCCTTATCAAATAAACTAATAAACAAAAAACAATATTACCTCGTGGTGCGTACTGGGTATATTTCCCCTTTTGATTTCAACATGATTTTTTATGGAGGTTGATCTATTTTTAGAGAGGTATTAATCGCTGTTAAATACGTTCCCTTTTTTTCTTCATTACAGGCCTTAAGCTCGAAGGATTAGACATGGCCGCCGCTACATGGAATGCGTCCATGGAAACTTTGAGTATGCCAGAGAAGGTCATCTGGTTGGAGAACAATGACGAAGATGACCTAGCCGATCTTAGCGGAGATCTATTAGAGGCCTGGATTAAATATGGCCCAGTAAAAGAAACTATCGATGATGAAGATCGATTTTGTCGAAAATTAGTCTTGGAGAAAGTACTCGAATGCAAGTCGGCTTTCGACAATCTCGGTGGCACAGATATGAGGAAGGCTCGTGCCAGGTCAAACCCATTCGAGACCATCAAGTCCAACATTTTCATGAATAGGGCGGCTGTCAAAATGGCCAATATGGACGCTATGTTTGACTATATGTTTACAAACCCCGTGGATGAAACAGGCAATTCGATGGTGAAGGACGATGACCTGATATATTTTGCCGATGTTTGTGCAGGTCCTGGAGGGTTTTCGGAGTACTTCCTGTGGCGTAAGAAATGGCAAGCGAAGGGTTTCGGTTTCACGCTCAAAGGAGAGAACGATTTTAAATTATCGGATTTTATTGCTGGGACTCCGGAGACCTTTGATCCCTACTACGGACCGAAAGATGACGGTGATGTATTTGAACCGGTTAACATCGAGGGTTTTACAAACTATGTGATGAAGCAGACGGAATCTGGTGTACATGTAATGATGGCAGACGGTGGATTTTCGGTAGAAAATCGTGAAAACATTCAAGAAATTTTATCAAAACGATTGTACTTATGCCAGATCCTCATGGCGCTTAACGTGGTACGTACTGGAGGACATTTTGTTGTGAAGCTGTTCGACCTGTTTACACCCTTTAGCGTTGGACTGATATATTTGGTTTACAAATGTTTTAAAAAAATTTGTATCTGTAAACCTAATACTAGCCGCCCGGCTAATTCAGAAAGATACTTGGTATGCAAATGGAAAAAGGCTGGAACTGATACAATTCAGCGACACCTTTTCCAAGTGAACAAGCTTCTGGCCAACAAGAAAGATAACATTGACATTCTGGAATTGGTTCCCCACGACGAGCTGGTCGGCAACGATACATTTTTTCAGTACATTTGTGACAGCAACAACGAGATAGGTGAATATCAGATAATAGGGCTGTTGAAAATAGCTGCCTTTTGTGCAGACCCAACGTTAAATGAATCCAAGCAGGCCGAAATCAAGCGGAAATGTCTAGAGCTTTGGAAGTTGGAAGACATTCTCCGGAAGGTACCGTCAAAATCAGCTCTGGATCAGTACGTTGGAGAACTCCTAAAGGAATGGGATGGTGAGAAAAGGTTTCTAGGAGCGCATGAAATGAAATTGCAAACATCATCTATAGAAAAGTACTTCCCGTCGGTACACGGTTGGTATTTTGCACCGCTAGAGAACAACAACGATTGGAACAAGTATATTCGTACGTTTTTTCTGGGAAAAGGTGGCAAGGAAGTATTATATTATAATACTAAAATCGGGTCATGGCAACCATTGAAAGACATGCAATTGGAACTAGCTCCATCGACGTTGGTGTACGGCGAGATTGTTACGGAATTGCAAGGGCAAGGAAACTCGCAGGTAACTATTTATGCATTTCACATAATAGACGGAATCACACTTGGTGGCGTGGACATCCGGAAAAATTCTCTACAGGAGCGAATAAAAATGTGTGAAAAGTATGCAAAAGCCTTGAACAAACCGTACAGGATTATTAACAAAGCGGATGCACCTTGCGTTTCGTCGATGCCAATTCGGTGTAAGAAATTGTTCCCTCTTTCCGAGAGTGACCGGTTCTTTGACCGATTAGAGAGCTATAAACTCAAGGGAGGCCGGAAGTCTCGCCTGGGATATCACTTACGCAATACCGTTGATCCGGACCGATTTTACGTCCCAAGGGGGCTGCTGTTTCTCAACGAAATACGCGATGATTACTTGAAAATGTTTTCAAAAACACAAAACAAATTCTATTATTTTAACAAGCGAACAAAGTCATCCTCGTTCCCGGAACAAATGCCCTGTATCGACGAAACAAAAGCTTCGCTTAAGAACACTTTCACGCACCGAATTATATGGGAATGGAGCGACGAGAGACAAGTCTCCGACGACGAAAAAGTTCCGGGGGAACCTGATCTTGCATGCCGAGTAGATATCAAGGAATTCTTACTACGTAAAAACAACCATTGACCATTACGGCGTAAGTAAACAACAACGTATTAGTTTATTCTTCAATTATCCGTTCGTTTTACTGTTTCGCCTTTTTCCGCTAGAATTTCTTCGATATTCCTCTTCCCATTCAGGTCGGTAAACCAGTTCAGATTGTCGGCAATGATGTGATGGATGCTGCAACCTTCACATGTGACAATAACCACACCTTTCTCGTAAGCTTGTCTCGATATAAAGTTCGTGTTCCTGGCTGTGCACTGTTTGCATGTATAAGTAAGCTGGAACTGCTTGCTTTCGATTGTGCCAAGCTGCTTCCCCCAACACAACGGGGTTTCTGTCGAAGTACAGTGTCCTACAATATACAATAATGTAGCATTATTCTTTCGTGATTTGGCTAATACTTAGTCAAAAATGCACAAGCTATTAATCATCTAAAATCCATGCTCATTTTCCCGGATTTTAATGAAGTAGGGTAAATGGCTCTAATGTTGGCCTATGGATTTAAAGATGTCATATTTTCTTAGAACAATCCGTCATCTGGACAAACAATTAATATTTTTGGTTACTAATAAAAAAATTAACAAAAAAAAGCTTTCCTTATAAACTTATGTATGTACCTAATGTTAGGGACACTTAGGCCAACATTAGAGACATTCATTCATGTATTGTAAAAAATTAAATAAAAATAAACTTTATTAATAAATTTGACTGTTCGACTTACTTTGCAACTGCTTGTATGTCAATGGGAGTCGATTGCTAATGTATCGGTCAAAAACTCCCAATGAACTGCTACTACGAAAAGGATGACAGTACTGCCGAGTAACATTGCATACCAAACGACCGAATGGATACATTTCCCTAATTTTGTTGAATTCTGAAATTGTAAAACAACATGACGTTATTTCAAAACTGCAAACTGGAAAGCTTATGTATAGACAGGCATGGAAAATCATTTGCATTTATTTCGTGCATTCATTTACATTCATTTGCCCCTAACTTTTTTCATCAACAGAATTCCGCAAAATGATGTATGGAGCTTTTGTAGGTTTTGTTATTAACTACAACTTTTGTCAACAACTCAAATCCCCTCCCCATGGACATGGAGGTTGACGGTACTGAAGCAAAGGGTTATGTTTAATTTCTTTATATTTGCAACGATGATGATTTCCCATAGTGACACATATCACCTTCTTAATGCTTCAGTATACCTCAAACGATTAATTCTTGGTTGTTAATAGAACTTCCTTGATGCAATCGGCTGCTTCATGCAGACTGAGCAATTCTGATTATAGTATCAGATTTGTTCTGTATACAGAGGAACTGGGAGGGCTTATTAGAAACTTCTCACCAATAAAGTAATGACCTTCTAGTAAATTTTGCATATCATTTTATTAATATTTTATTTTATTTAAGCATATTATTTTTGTTACAGTCAATTAGCATTAGCATACAATACAAGAGATTTAATATTACTTGCTCGGTTTTGCGTAAAATAATCAATATGTATTTTGCTTGTAATTACCTTTGAATTTTTTTTTGTGATTTCAAAATTTTCCTAGTTTGGTTAGAAGTTTCGAAGCTAACACATGTCAACAGGCCTAATAGAAAGATAGACAGACAAAGCGTATCATGAAGAATAGTTGCATGCAGGGTTGCTTCCACTCACTTTCTATAGATGAGTGATTTTCGGAGTTTTGAATTCGTTAGATGTTGTAATGGAGGTTTGTGTTGTTGGATGCGGGAGGAGATTGGAGGGCGGGTGTTTGACGCATAGAGCCTGTCAATTTCGCTTTCAGAGTGTCGCAGTCAGCGGTTTTATGATTCGTGAGCGCTCGCGATTCGTAGAATCGTTGATTGTGACTGCCAGTGGATTTGGCGGGTTTTGTGTGTCGGACGCTTGCTTTTTGGCCTTTTCTTGTGTCTAACATGTGCAGAGTATCATTAAAGCGTCTAATGGTTTTGAGATTCCTGGTTGCGTGAAATATACTTGTGAGAATATAAAGATATTTGAGATTTTAGTAGTCACGTTTTGTTTGTAGTTTATATGATATTTCTTTCATGTAATTATCGTAAATAATAGTTATTCAATAATAGATAATTCATCCATATATTCAATAATAAATTTACGAATGACTATAATTTGGATACCTAACAATTGGACAGAATCACTAGCAAGAATAGGTTGTGCTCGCCTTCGAAAATATCGATTCGATTTTTTCAGGGTTGTAGTTTTGGTTTTCATCAGTGGCCCGGCTCTGATTGTGAACGATTTAGGTAGTATTTTTAGGTAACTATTTAGCTTTTAGCACAACTTTGCTACTACGAATCCACAAAAGACATTAAATTGGAGGCGGATTCTGGTACGGAATTACAGGCTGCTATTTTGAGCAACTTATCTTCATAAAATTAAAAATTACATTTAGGTATTAATTAGCAAATATGAATAGTAGTTAACTTTAACATAATTTTGATAAAACAATCATTTCATCCAGTTCACTTTAAAACAAACAAGTATGAAAGGAGATTGCTTAGAATAAAGATAAAAGTAATAAGCGCAATATTAAACGACATTAAATTTGAATCTGATACGGTAGGCCATATAACAGAGTCGATAGCCATTGCAAATCAACCATCTCTACCTGCTTATTTTCCTAACTTTCACTATTATTGCTGTTACTCTGACTATCCCCTATGTTCAACAGCTTTCCTGACTATCCGGTATCGTAAACAGGATTCATTTGACCCCTGTGGTTATTATTCTGTGATGCCAAATCTATACCTCTACCCTGGTGCAGTATGGACAGCGATTTTTCGCTGGTGACTTGGCCCTATGACCCCCTTCTGTGCTTGAAAATGAAAATGAAACTACAACTTTTGTCAACAACTCAAATCCGTATCTCTTATGTATGACGGACCAGAGCGAACAGAACCACTACTGTTTTTCAGTGAATGTATTTTACATTCACTGAAAAACAGTAACAAGTTCTGCCCGCTCTAATTCGTGATGCATAAGAGATACACATTTGAGTTATGGGCAAAAGTTGTAGCTAATAACAAAACCTACTAAAGCTCTATACATCATTTTGCGGATTGCTGTTGATGAAAAAAGTTAGAGGCAAATGAATGTAAATGATTGCATGAAATGAATGTAAATGAGTAGTTCAGCTGTTCTGATTTCGGTAGAGTTTGTTGAGATCGGGTATAGTTCCTGAGTATGTTGTTTGTGGATTCCCATTTTGAAATAGCTCAGATTAGCACAGAGTAATAAGTTTATTGCTAGGGAACTTTCTTTTGGGATCGTCTTTTCTTCATATAATTCTCATTATTCATACTATATTAATCATGATCAGTATTAGAAAATGTTATATGTTTAAGCTCAGTTCTAGATTAGTTTGTTATTAATATCTTTTGCATTGCAGCTCGCGAGAGGTTACCAAATATGGGTTCTCTTTTTCATCCACAATAGTTTGGGGGGAGGGGGGCGATCTGAGAGCTGAATAGAGACAAATAAAATTGGGACACAAAACCATGACCCAAACGACTAACCAACGATTCTATAACATTCCCCAGAAAACCATTCCCCATAATCTCATTCCCCAGAATACACCATTCCCCAGAAAAGCATTCCCCAGAATGAACCATTCCCCAGAAAACCGTATGCGTAACTGTATAACCATTTTGTAACCGTGAAAAGTATGCCATGTATTAGATTGACTATTTTTGTTTATTATAGTCACTTCTGGAATCTTCTTTCGCGTATATAAAAAGAAGAGAAAAACTTCTTAATGGGTCAAGGGGTTTTAGGAGACCTTAATGGATCAAGGGGTTTTCCCTTTTTTTAAATATAAGTAAAGGAAATAATTAATTCTTTGTATTTACGATAAAGAAGGGAATAATCCCTTCTTTGAATATATAAAAGAGTACACGATTAATTCTTTAAATATATGATAAAGAAGGGAATATTCCCTTCTTTGAAAATATAACAAAATAAAATAATTAATTCTTTGGATATACAATAAAGAAGGGAATATTCCCTTCTTTGAATATATAAAAGAGAACATCATCAATTCGTTAAATATATAATAAAGATGGGATTATTCTGTTCTTTGAAACATTAAGAAAAGGAAATCATTAATTCTTTGGATATACGATAAAGAATGGAATATTCCCTACTTTAAATATGTAAATAATATGAAAAAGAAGGGAATATTCCCTTCTTTAAAAATATAACAAAAAGAAAGAATTACTTATTTGGATATACGATAAAGAAGGGAATATTCCCTTCTTTGAATACATAGAAGAGAACATCATTAATTCGTTAAATATATGATAAAAAAAGGGAATATTTCCTTCTTCGAAAATATAACAAAAGGAAATAATTAATTCTTTGGATATACGATAAAGAAGGAAATATTCTTTTCTTTTCATATATAAGGAAAATATATAATCAATAGCTTTTCGCAAGGGATTCGGGGTAATGACTATTTGCGATAATAACGTGTGGACTTATGTTATAAGTTTGTAATCGGTAGTTCTGTAATATAAAACTAATATATCAGGCATAACATTTGATAACGGCACAAAAGCATTTGTTAACAAACTTTCTAAGGCCCTTTACACGCGAACCAAAGTACGCTCACGCAAACCAACAACATCATCGGATAGGGGCAACTATCACCTTTCCCGAAAGTGGTATTGGATTGCGTGGGCGTACTTTGGTTCACGTGTAAAAGGCCTTAGAAAGTTTGTTTACAAATGCTTTTGTGCCGTTATCAAATGTTATGCCTGATATAATATCAAATGACCAAAAAAATTGATAAATTACTAATTTCATCATCTTTTCTGTGAAATGGTACATTCTGGGGAATGGTACATTCTGGGGAATGGTTTTCTGGGGAGTGTTATAGAATCTTAACCAACGCATGCGGCTCACACTCTTGTTTTATTTCTTTCTTCCTCTCATGTACCATTATTACCTGCCTGAGAACAATTGTGAACACGGTCAGATGTTCAATAGGAGGAAAAATAGCGAGAAAGCATGAGCAAGAAAAGAAAATAAAACATGCATCGGAAAGAATAAGCACACACCTAATATTGATCACTAACCTTCATATAGTTTCAGCATTATCGACATTATAATCAAAAGGTGAGTTGAAAAGTATTATTACCATGCATAGAGATAAGTTGATGTACCA